GTCTGTCTGGCGAGTGCACATGCCCTATAGCAAAAACCTCTCCAAAAAAAAAAAATTTAAGTTCAGTTTTTTGTTCTAAGGCTTGTGCATTTGCGGGGGGTGGGGGTGAGAAGTCACCCCCCCGGGGGATGACCATGCTGCAGTCCCTTCTCCTCCAGTCTGTTCTTGGGATGTGGGGTGCATACACACGTGTGCTCAGCACATTCCTCAAGCCTCTGTGTCCAGGACTCAAACTGCCCAGCTGGTGGTGACACCGCTGCCTTAACCTCCACACCACGGGCCAGCTTGAGCCCAGGGGGTTTGCCAAGCCACTGGGTCCACGCCTCGTACTGTGCAGTCAGCCATGCGGGATCCAGCGCCTTATCCACACCACCTGGCCCCTGAAAAGCCTGCTTTCAAGTTTAGAAAACATTCTGTTACTGCATGAAAGCTCGCCTCGTTCTGGTCCGGAGGTTAGCAAGCTTTCTCTGTGCAGGGCGATACACTGAGTATTTAGGCTTCGCGGATCACACTCTCTGAATCCACTGACTCTCCCATTACCAGGAAGCAGAAATGGACCATACATCAATAAATGAACATAAGAGTCCCAATAAAAGCTTATTTACAAATGGGACCAGCAGGCGTAATGGGTATGTCGCTGGACCCCCAGGTAGTCACCACGATTCGAGTCGCTGACCTGGTAGCTTAAACTTATGCCGAGTGTTGTGTGTGTGTGTGTGTGTGTGTGCGTGTACATGTGTGCATGTGTGTGTGCATGCCCAACCCCCCCCCCGGAGGTGATTTCTCCTTTCTTTCTGGCATGTGCACGTGCCCTATAACAAAAACCTCTCAAAAACAAAAACAAAACTTTATTTTCAAAAATAAGTTGTGTGCCAGATTTGACCTTTGGATGATGACTTTTACTTTGTCTTATTTATTTATCTATTTTGGAGAGGTTTTTGCTATAGGGCGCGTGCGCTCGCCAGAAAGACAGAGAGACAGAGAGATAGAAAGGGAGAAATCACCCCCCAGAGGCGATGGCCACACCATGATCTCTTCTCCATTCTCCTCTCAGGATCTTGGGCACGCATGCACACACGCCTGGCGTGAGTTTAAGCCACCAGGTCTGGGACTCAAACTGCAGTTGACTACATGGGAGTCCAGTGACATAGCCATTACACTAACTGCTGGTCCCACTTTGTCTTATTTTTTAAGTTTATTTCCTCCATGAGTGAGACAGAGAGATAGAGAGACACAGAGAGAAACAACCTCCAACAGGGTCTTGATTGAAGCCACACTCAGCCCAGCCCGCTCCTGGGTGTGCCCGTCCCCAGGGCGCTCCAGGTCTGGAGGTGGGTCTGCAACAACGCTCCCTCCCACACGGGTCAGCCTCTCCACATGCTGTGTCGTGCCGCTGTGCCACTGTCCGGGCCCTGTCCACTGTCTTAGAGGATCCATTTTAGAAGTGCTCTATTTATTATCGTTTTTTCATTTGTCATAGAGTACGTGTACTTGCCAGAGACGGAGAGAGGGAGGAAGCACGCCCAGATCATGGCACAATCTTGTCTCCTCCATCCCTCCACCCCATGGGGGTTTGGGGCATCCACACACACCCGTTTGGTGTGTTTTCCACCAGGGGCTGGGCTTTGAAGCGCACGGTCAGTCATGTGGGAGCCAGCCGCCCTAACCACCAGGCCTGAGCCAGACCCTGGAAGCGGGCTGTTCTAACATGCCTTTTCCATGCCTCCACTTGTGTTACCTAGGCTGACAGGGTGGGGTGGCTTTTCAGATCTTTTCTGTGGGCTGGAATGTAAAGCCTCTCCCCCAAGAGACGAGATGTGCCTCAATTCCACCTAACTGTACCAGCCGCATCGTTCTCCAGCCCACGGCAAAAGCAGAGGGACATGCACTCCGTCGCGGTCACAGCTGCCAGGCCGCAACGGCTGCCATTCCTTCCAGCCACATCCTTAGCCCCTGCTGCCCACACAGCCAGGCTCAGCGCCGGGCCCTGCCCTTAGCCGAAGGGAGCATGGGTACAGCTGCGGAGATGGACGGGGAGATGCAAGATGACTCGGAGGAGCTGACGCAAACGAGACTGCAGGATGCGGGGCGAGCGTGCCGAGGCTGCGGGCGCCGGCTCACACCCACGACCTCTGGGTGGAACGGCACAGTGGGCTGTCCTGTCTCTCCACAGACAGAACCTATGGGACGTCGCACGATCGAGTACTCCAGGAAGCACTTCTCCCAGGAAGGGAATGGCTAAGGGCACGCCCACCCGCCTGACTCTCCCCTTTTAAACAGTAAGGACATCGGGAGAGGGACGTCTGCTCAAAAGCAGTGTGGGGCCAGCAGGTGGCATGGTGGTTAAGACATTCGACTACCACACGGCTGACCACAGTTCAAGTCCTAGACCTGGATACCTGAAAATCACACCGGGCGCATGTGCATGTGTGCCCCAAATCCTGAGAGAACTGAGAAGGGACTGTGGTGTGACCATCCCTCTCGGGGGTGATTTCTCACTTTCTCTCTCTATTTCTCTAACTCCAGTGAGCATACATGCTCTATGGCAAAAAATAACAAAATAAAACAAAAACAAAGAAAGAAAACACAACATGGTAAGAGAAGAATTAGGAACAAAAAAGAAAAAAAAGAAAAAAGCTGTCACGTGGCCTCAACTCCAATTTGGTCACATACTCGTCTCGCATGGTGCTTGCCAGCGAGGGCAACAGGATTAGAAAACACATTTAGAAATTCGCATTTCAGGACCAGCAGGTGGCATGGTGGCTAAGGCGCTGGGTGCTCCCACATGGCTGACCATGGTTCAAGTCCTGGACCTGGTGGCTTGCTCTCTCACCTTCTCTTTCTCTTTCTGTGTATCTCTCTAGTCAAATTAAAAATGAATGAATGAATAAGTAAAATTAAATAAATAATTTAAAAAAAGAAATTCATATTTCTTCTTTTTCTGTGAATAATATTTCAAATGACAAATATTTATTGAGAACCTACCAAATACCAGGCTTTGCACTGTTTAGGTACAAAATCTACGTAGTATTTTCTTTTAAAAACTGCCTGTTCAATAAAATAGAATGCATTTACATTGCGGACAAAGAAGGGGATTATCTATACATCCAAGAATCATCCAGAGCCCATAATATTTTAATAAATGGCCAATTTGCATAAGTGTTCTTTGGGCTAACAGATGCTTTTTTCAAAAACAAAAAAGCAATAAATAAGCCTCTAGATAACGGTTAGTTGGCAGTTTCTTTCCTAGGTATGCCACATGCTGTTTACCAGTGGTGCTCAGAGGCTGAGTCCTGGTGTGCCCATCCTCAGACGTGCCGCAGTCCCTCTGCAGCCCCTGGTGAGCCTGGCCTCCCAGGGAAAGCTTCAGCTCCCTGCCAGCGGGGCAGTGGCGCTGCTGCCTGGAGGCGCCCGGGCCTGGGCAGACCTCTGCTTGCTGAGCTACTTACAGTGAAGGGGTGGTAGGGGGCAGCAGGGGGAGCTCCGCGGGGCCCTGCTGGTGGAGGCAGCACAGACAGTCCTGTTGAAAAGATGCCAAGTGCGCTGAGGTTCAACCCCGGGATCAGATTGGCTTGTTGCTGGGAACAGAAATGAAGAAAAAATGAGGGGAGGAGACCAGAGAGGCCCAGCTTGCATGGTCAGCCTCCCTCTCTTAACTGGGTGGCACCGGCACCTCCTCACCTCTGCTCCAGCCCTGTGGACCTCTTCCCACCTATTGCAGAGCTGGGTGCTGCCCCTAACCTGACCACGGCAGTCCTCGAAGCTCTGCCGCTCTCGGGAGTGTTCATGTCATAACACGGTAAGTCGGGCTCTTCCTGGGGACCCAGGTCACCTCGCTAGCCTCTCTCTTGCTCACCCCATGTCTACCCTGTCTCAATCCTGCTCCTAAATATCTTCGCACATTCTCTCACATCGAGGCTCCTGTGTACACGGTCTCCCACGCAAAACATGCGCCTCTCTCCCCACACCTGGCTAAGTCCCGCTCACCCGTGGGTATCAACTTAGCATTGGTGCTCCCTCATGCAGAAGCCCCCCTTGCCCAAAGGCTCTGGTGAAAGGGCCCGGGCTGCCTTTGAATAGCACATGTCACGGGGCCCCGAACCACCCGCTGGCTGCCTCCCCTCAGGGGCAGAGACTGTCAGGGCATGTGCTCAGTGCCTGGTACACAGTAAGTACTCAATAAATACTTCTCGCATGACCGTGGGCCAGCGGGTGGGTCAGATCTGCACAGCTGATGTGCAGTTTGAGTCCTGGCCATGTGTGTGCCCGGAATCTCGAGAACGGGGAAGAGACTGCAAGGTGGCCATCCACCTAGCAGGTGCTCTCTCACTTTCTGTCTCCTCCTCACTCTGCTGAGTGTGCATGCCCTACAGCAAATTAAAACAACACAAAAACAAAAGCAAATTGTAGGGGCCAGCAGGTGGCACGGTGGTGAAGGTGCTGGACTCCTACATGGCTGACTGCAGTTCGACTACTGGATCTGGCGGCTTGCTTTCCCTCCTCTCTCTCCCTGTCACTCTCTGGTCAAACGAAAAATAAGTAAATAGATGAATAAATAAATAAATAAATAACAAAATTAAGAAAAAAGCCAACTGGAAGGCTGACCCATGGCGCAGCAGCTAAGCACTGCGTGTGCAGAGCGCGATCCCACATGGCTGACTGCGGTTAGAACCCCAGCCCTCGTGGCTTAGAGAGCACGCTGGGTGTGTGCACGCGCTCAGAATCCTCACAGGACGGAGAAATGGAGAAGAGACCGCAGCATGACTGCGCCCCACTGGAGGTCCTCGCTGCCTTCCTCGCCCTCTCTCACTCTAGCTAGTGCTCACACCCTCTGGCAATAAAAATAATAAAATCAACACCCAAACAAACTGGATTAAAGCCTTTTCTGATTCTGTCCAAGGAAAGCTCAGACTCCACCACCAGGACCGCGTACTCCAATTCCACTATCCTAGCTCGAGATGGTTCACGACTGCGTACCTTCGTCACTTATTGCTGCTTTTGTGACACCTCGCGGTGTAGTCTATACTTACACACGAGGCTGGGCTGGGAGGGGGTTTTAACTACTCAGACCTCAGGGGCAGGACGGCAGAGCCGTGCAGCCCAGCCGTCCGGCCTGCCCACTGCTGCCTCCCTGAACACTAAGCTGCTCTCTGATGCTTTCTTATCCCTGCTGAGGTCGCCCAGTGCCTTGCCTCCTTCTAGACTGCTTGGGATAGCGACCAGAGGTCCTTTCCATCCCGTTCCATGTACACGATCTCGTAATTTCGTTATCCACCGCCTGGTGCGCGACTCTGGCACGGAAGTGGATTATTCTAGGTAATGCCCTCAGGCGACAAGGTCTAGAATACCCAGACCCCTTTGCAGCTTTTTCAGGTGTTCATAGAAAGAGTTGTTCATCGTACGGTGTCACAAGTCCACAAGAAGGAAATGAGACTGTCGGATGACACCTCCACAGATAACTATGTCTAAGTGTGGGGAGAAGATCACCCTGCTGTCTCCACCTCCACTGAGAGTCCAACCCAGGCCTCCCACGCGGTCCCACCTGGGCAGCATGGCATCTCAGCAGTGCCCACCACTGTGGCTGGGACCTAACATGGGTATTTTTTTAACTTAAATATAACAGATTATCTCCCGTTTTCTCCCTCTGCCTCCCTTTCTCATGAAAGAAAGATACTTAAAAAGAAAAAGGAACAGGCCAGTAATACAAATGCTTGGAAAGCAGGGAAACATCCCCCTTCCCTCACACACCAGCTGTTTCTATGTTTGTTTATAGCTCTCCCGTCACTCTGATCCACAGTACTTTACCTAACCGTGACTCTAGTTACGTACTTTTAGATCTTGCTTTTATTCGTAACTACCGAAGACTTTTCTTATCTCACGATCTTCGAATGCCTGCACGGTATTTTCTGCCACGTGTGTATTACAGCTGCCATCACGTGCTGGCTGGGTCCTGGCCTGCTTCGATGCCGTGACCCTGAGCAGCGTGGAAGCACCTGCAGCTCTAAGCTAGGACGCCCTCACGTCAGCTGAGCGGCGGTTGTCCCCAGGAACACTTGGGGCCAGCTTTAATCCGCGTGGGCACCCGGGGGGGAAGGCCCACACTTACGTTCACGGCCAGCATGTCGTTTTCGAAGGCCTCGCGCAGCTTCTTCATGATCTCTGCCTCGGCACTGGCACAGGCCTCGACCGAGCCCTTCACAGTGATGGTTCTTTCAGGGTTGTAGATGCTCAGGTCCTGCAAACTGGCCAACGGGAAAGAGGAATTTCCTCGTCAATAGGAGATGCTAACTCGCAGAGAAATCCCAAACCAGCCTTGGTGAAGGAGGCTGAGTTCCCTCATAAACACACTGGGGTGGAGAAACTATCTTCTCGCAAATCTTCCTAGGGACTCGATCACCCAGGGGGCCTTCCCTGAGGATGGTGGAGACGGTTACGTCACTTAGGATTATACCCCCATTCTAGAGAAGGGCAAGCGGAGGACGGGGGTGTGTCGCTTCACACCAGCTCCCACCACTGGCACCATCGACCGAACGGGTGGCTTACGATGAGATGGTTATCTTGGTCCCTGTCTCATGTTCGATCTTCTTCAAATTTCGGCCTTCTTTTCCAATCAGCCTTCCAACCAATCCATTGTGGGCCAAGATTTTCAGAGGAATCTCTTCAGCTCTAAAAGACACGAACAATGACTTAGCACTGAAGATGTGCACCATGGCTGACAGGAGACATCACCCTCTTCCTTAGAAACGGGAGTTACGCTGTTCAGGTCCAGCGGCCGTGGACTTTGGAAGCCAGGTCCTTCACCACAGCCAGTTCATAAATTTTGATGAACATAAGCCAGATCAGGGTAATTCTTCTCCCTTGTAGTAACCAATCAAAAGGGAGTCCATGAGAAACACCTGGCCAGGGAGGCCTGAGGAAATCTGCAGAGGCACCACAGGAAAGCTGTTCTTGTTCTTAAAAAGGCACAAGTGAGAGGGATGTCATTAACATGGCAGGGGCTGTTTTTCTCTTCTAAGATTTTGCCAGAGAGCATGTGAGGCTCACTGAGAGGCAGAAAGACAGACTCGGACAGGGAGGCACGGCCAGGGTGCAACGCCTACGCCTCCACGCCGCCCTGCTTTACGGTTTGGGGCACACATGCACACGTGCCCGGTGTATCTCAAGTGCTGGGTCTAGGACTTGAACCACACAGTCATTGGCTGTGTGGGATCCAGCTGCCTAAACCATAAAGCCATGGGCTGGCCTGATTATTTTTATAGAAGTTCAAATCTTAACAAAAAACTTATCAGTAGTAAAAAGAAACAGGCGGGACCGGCAGTTAGCGTAATGGCTATGTTGCTGGACTCCCATGTAGTCGACTGCGGTTCAAGTCCCAGACCCGGTGGCTTAAAACTCATGCCGGGCGTGTGTGCGTGCATGCCCAAGATCCCGAGAGGAGAACGGAGGAGAAGGGATTGCAGTGCGGCCACCCCCCCTGGGGGGGTGAGTTCTCGCTTTGTCTCTCTGTCTGTCTGGTGAGCGCACGCGTCCTATAGCAAAAACCTCTCAAAAAAACAAAAAAAAAAAAAAAAAAAGTAACAGGCAAGTATGGCTCAAAGAACGAAAATAAAACTAAACAAAACCCTAAAAAATGATGATCTATGAGCTGACCAAGAATTTAAGATAATGTAAAAGGGGCCAGCCAGGTGGTATGTTGGTTAGGGTGGCTGGATCCCACGTGGCCGACTGTGTGGTTTGAATTCTGGATCCTGAAGCTTGAAAACCATGCTGGGTGCATGTGCATGCCCAAAACACTGAGAGAACAGAGGAGAAGGGATTATGGTGTGGTCATCCCCCAGGGGGTGCTTTCTCTCCCCACCTACCTCCAGTGAGTGCATACACTCTAGAGCAAAATTTAAAATAAAAATAATAAAATGACTGTAAAGATGAGTTGAAAGAACATAGATAGCTAAACAAACTCAGAGTAATGATACATGAATAAAACGTGAGTACTCACAGGGACAGAGACCATTAAAAAAATGAACAGACACTTCAGGGCTAAAAAATACAATAACTGAAAAAAGAAATTCTTTAGAAGAGTTCAACAGCAGGCTTGATCTGACAGAAGAACCAGCAAACTTGAAGAAAGGTTAATTGATATCATCAAGGTAGAGGATTTTTTTTTTTAATAAAAGAATAACGTGAAGAGAACCTAGAAGACTCATGGGGAACACAATCAAGTGGAGCAGTACAGGCATAATGAGCCCCAGAAGGATAAGGGAGAAGTTAGGGGGCAGAGAGAGCTTATATCAAGAAACAATAGCCCAAACTTCCCAAATGTGAGCAAACAGACAGGTCAAGAAGCTTAAGAAATTCCAATGATAAAAAAATTCAGAGAGATGGCCAGGTGGCGTGACAGTTAAGGTGCTGGACTCCCACATGGCCAACCACAGTTCAAGTCCCAGAGCTGGTGGCTTGCTTTCTCACTCACTCTGTCTCTGGTGAGCGCAAAAGTTTAAAAAAATAATTATTTTTTAAAAAATTCAGAGAACCTGGGACCAGCAGGTGGCGTGGTGGTTAAGGCGCTGGACACTCCCACATAGCCAACCAAGGTTCAAGTCCTGGACCTGGTGGCTTGCTTTCTCACTTCCTCTCTCTCTCACTCTCACCCTCTGGTCAAATTAAAAAATTAATGAATGGGGAACCAGCAGTTAGTGTAATGGCTATTTCGCTGGACTCCCACGTAGTCGACCGCAGTTCGCGTCCTGAACCTGGTGGCTTAAAACTCACACCGGGCGCATGTGCATGCATGCCCAAGATCCTGAGAGGAGAATGGAGGAGAAGGGATTGCGGCGTGACCATCCCCTCTGGGGGGTGATTTCTCGCTTTCTGTCTCTATGTCTCTGTCTGTCTGTCTGGCGAGCGCATGCACCCTATAGCGAAAACCTCTCCAAAAAATAAAAATCAATGAATGAATAAATTAAAATAATTAAAATTAAAAAAAAAATAAAAATTCAGAGAACCACACGAAGACTGTTTAAAGTCAAAGATAAAGAGAGTACCTTTTATTTACTTATTTATTTGATAATTGTCAGAGGGTGCCTGTACTTGCCAGAGAGACGGAGAGGGAAGGAGAGGGACAAAGCGCCACTAATGAGCCGTGGCCAGGCTGCCACCCCTTCCCCTTCCTCTCAGGCCTGCCGGGACTGGGGCGTGCACGCACACATGCCTGGCATATCTGTCACGTTTCTGGGACCAGGATTTGAACCATGGTTGACCATGAGGATCCGGTTTCCTTAACCACTAGGCTAGAAGGTTGCATCCCGGTACACATAATTTAAATGACGAAAACATGAAAAAGTATGTATCTATGTTAATGGGTGCTAAGAGATAAAGATGAAATTGGTAATCCGGGGATGGAGCGGGGCTGTGAGAGAGCAGAGATGCGATAGTGTGTGACTGAAGTTTCGCTGCTGGGACCATGGGATGGCGTAATGTTGCATCGCTGGATTCCCACGTATCTGACCGCGGTTCGAGTCCTGGAACCAGCAGCTTGAAACCCACACTGGGCGCGCATGTGCGCATGTATGTGCCCGAGACCCTGAGAAGGGAGTGAGGAGAAGGGATGCAGTGTGACCACACCCCTGAGGGGCAATTTCTTGCTTTCTGTCTCTGTCTTTCCAGAGAGCACACTCGCCCTATAACAATCTCTCTCCAAAAAAAGAAAAATAAAAAAGGTTACGCTGCTATCACTTTAAACTAGAATGTTATCACTTTTAAGATGTTTTGTAACAAAATGGCAATAAGAAATCCATCCCTATCATTAATTCATTTAAATCTAAAAAGAATAAACTCCCCAAACCAAAGATATAAACTGGCTGAATGAACTAAGAAACCCAGGACTCAACTACACACGGTCTACGGGAGACTCACATCAGCTGTAAGGACACACACAGGCTAGAAGTGAAAGGACAGAAAACGGGATTCCACAAACGGTAACTACAGGCAAGGAATGGCTAGACTAGCATCAGAAAAGCAGACTTCGTGTAAAGAGCTGTTGCGAGGGACGAAGAAGGACATTAGGTGATGGGAAAAGGACACAGTTCACCAGGTGCCGTAACTGATAAGTCACCAGTGTCACGCACTCAGCCCCAGAGCGCCTAAGCCCATGAAGCCGACCTGGACGGACTGAGGGGAGAAGCAGTCCTCACCACCACGGCAGGGAACTCCGGTGCCCCCGGCAGTAACGGATGAGCAACCGCCCGGGAGGACAGGCAGCAAACAAAGGACTCGGATGGCTCCACGGACCAGCTCCACAGAGCACTCCGGCCACAGCAGAGCACGCGGGAACGTCTCTGGACATGGCGCAGTGCGGAACGGGGTCTCAGCCAGTTCAAGTGGCCGCAGTTATGCAAAGTTCCTTTTCTGATCTCAGTAGAATGAAACTAGGTATCACTAGCACAAGGGAACCTGGAAGTCTACAAATACATGGGAGTTAAATAAATGACACACTCTTATACAGCAAACAGGTCAGGAAAGTCATAAAGGAAATTAGAAAATAACTCGAGACAAATGAAATAAAAAGACAACACACTAAAACTTACAAATGCTGCGGATGCATGTTAAGAGAAAAGTTTGGGGGGACCAGCAGTTAGTGTAACGGCTATGTCACTGGACACCCACATAGTCGACCGCGGTTCGCGTCCAGGACCCGATGGCTTAAAACTCACGCCGGGCGCGTGTGCGTGCATGGCCAAGATCCCGAGAGGAGAATGGAGGAGAAGGGATTGCAGTGTGGCCATCCCCCGGGGGGTGATTTCTCGCTTTCTGTCTCTCTGTCTCTCTCTGTCGGTCTGGCGAGCAAAAATCTCTCAAAAAAAAAAAAAAAAAAGAGAAAAGAGAAAAGTTTGTAGCTGTACATATATCATTCAAAAAGAAGAAAGAGGATCAGCTGGTGGCATGGAGGTTTGGGCGGGTGGATCGCACATGGCTGACTGAGTGGTTTGAATTCCAGACCAGGCAGCTTGAAAAACACACAGGGTGGATGTGCACGCGTGCCCAAAATCCGAAAGGAGAAATGCACGAGGAGGGACTGCGGTGTGACCATGCTCCATGGGGGTGGGGTGCCTTCTCACCTTCTCTATCTGCAGCAAGCTCATGTACCCTGTAGTGAAGGAAGGAAGGAGACAAAAAAGGCAAGGAAGGAAAGAAGGAGGAAAGGAAGGACAGATCTCACCTGAAAACCTAATTTCATTCCTGAAGAAATTAGAAAACATGGACCAGCAGTTAGTGTAACGGCTATGTCACTGGACTCCCATGTAGTCTACCGCAGTTCGTGTCCCAGACCCAGTGGCTTAAAAAAACTCACGCCAGGCATGTGTGCATGCATGCCCAAGATCCCGGGAGGAGAAGGGATTGCGGTGTGGCCATCCCCTTGGGGGGAGGGAAAGGCAATTTCTCACTTTCTGTCTCTGTCTCTCTCTGTCTGTCTGGTGAGCGCATGCACCCTATAGCAAAAACCTCTCCAAGAAAAAAAAAAAAAAAGAAATTAGAAAACAAAGAGCAAACTAAGCCCAAAGCTAGCATAAGGAAGGAATAATACAGATTAAAAATGAACAAAATAAGGAATAGAAAAAATAACAATCAACAAAATTAAGAGTTGGTTTTTTAAAAAGATCAACCAAACTGAGAAATCTGTAGCTAGCTTGACTAAGAAAAGAGAGAGAGAGAGAGAGAGAGAGAGAGAGCAAGAACACTCAAATAGCTAAAATCAAAAATAAAAGAGGGGACATGTAACCAATGCCACAGAAATAACAAGTATTATATGAGAGAAGTGTGAATAATGATACAGCAACAAACTGGGTAATCTAGAAGAAATGCATCAGTTCTTAGAGACAAACAACCTACCAAGACTGAATTATGAAGAAATAGGAAAGACGACCAGACCAATAAGAAGGAGATTGATTCAATAACTAAAACACTCCTAACAAAGAAAAGTCCAGGCCCAGGGCCTTCAAAGGAGAATTCTACCAAATTCTAAAAGCAATTAACACAAAACCACCTGGAATATTTCCAAAATTGAAGAGAAGGGAACATTTCTGAGCTCATTCTATGAGGCCAGCTTTATCCTGATACCAAAAATATGACCAAAAAAAGGGAAAGCACAGACAAATAATCTTGAATATTGATGCAAAGGTTCTCAACAAAACTGAATTCAGGGCATATTAAAAGGATTATATGCTATAACCAAATGGGAATTATTCCTAGAATGTAAAGATGGTTCAACACAAACACACACGTACGTACACACACACACACACACACACACACAAAGTACTGCTGGGCTTGCTCCATGGCACACTGGTAAAGCACGCCTTAGAAGAAGCTGGATCTTCGGGCCAGCAGGTGGTGTGGTGGTTAGGGCGCTGGACTCCCACATGGCTGGCTGTGTTTGAAATGAATTCAAAGCTCCAGGTAGAGTAAATAATGCCTAAGGAAAAAGTTCGAGTCCCTTGTGAAATCTGAGAAAAGACTTACAATGGTCTCCTTTTTTTCATTTATTTCTTCCATGAGCAAGACAGAGACAGACAGACAGCATCCCCAACAAGGTGTTGATGCGGGAATGTACCCTCAGCTCCGGACAGGCCCGGATCTTGGCCACGTGAGTGCCCAGAATGCTCAGAGGGGTCTCTCCTCAAAGTGGAAACCGTCCCACGGGCTCAGCCTCACGCTCACCACTCAGCCCCGCGGTGTTCTTCTCTTAAGGGTGACTTCCAACTTCCAGGTCTGAACACTCGTGTTTGCCAGTACGTGCTAAGTAACCCTTACGTTCAATTTGTCTCCCACTGTTCCTCTATAAAACTGTCACTACTGTCCAAAATTGGATTTTGCCAAACTGACCTAGTCTTTTTTTCCCATTATTTCCATCTATTCCATTACCATTAATTGGTCTATAATAAAAATCTATTCATTTAGATGAACGTATTTGCCATTCTAATTGATACAACCCTTGTTACACTATAGAATCCTAAGATGTATTTCATGAAAGAAAGGGAGATTAAAAAAAACAACAGAGGAAGAAGAGTCAAGTAGCAACTTGGAAACCAGTGGAAATGTAACCCATTTTTTAAAAGAATTATTTTATTTAACCTTATTTGTCTACTTATTTATTTTAATTTTGACCAGAGAGGTGCAGAGCGAGAAGGGGAAAGTGAGAAGGCAAGCCGCCAGATCCGAGACTTGAACCATAGTTGGCCATGTGGGAGTCCCATATCCACCATATCACTTGCTGCCCTGTAACACCTTTCTTTTTTTTTTTTTTTTTTTTTTTTTTTTTTAATTTTCACTTTAAGAGAGATTCTTGTTATGGGGTTCATGCACTCTCCAGAAAGACAGAGACAGAGACAGAAAGTGAGAAATCACTACCCAGGGGGATGGCCATGCTACAATCCCTCCTCCTTCATTCTCCTCTCAGGATTCTGGGAACGCACGCACTCGCACCCAGCATGAGTTTCAAGCCGCCAGGTCCGGGATTCAAACCTCAGTTGACCATGTGGGTGTTCAGCGACGTAACCATTATACCATTTGCTGGCCTCTATAACCCAATTTTAAGAGCATGAATGGTTTGAAGTCTGGTGGGAAAGGCCTTTCTAGAACAGTAAATGATGACTTTTGTGACGACATATGTTCTATACCTGCATTGTGTAAAATACCATAGCCATTAAGCTATATATATGGCTATTTCAGTTTGAATGAATTTAAACAAAACGTTTAGTTCCGCACCAACAGGTGGCATGGAAGTTAAGACTCTAAGCATGTGTACGAGTGTACTAAAATCCTGGCAGGAGAATGGAAGAGAAGGGACTGCAGGGTGGCCATCCCCGCTGGACAGAGCTCTCTCACTTTCCATTTCTCTCTCCCTCTGTGGTGAACACACACACCCTACAGCAAGAACTAGAAGCAAAACATTAAGTTCCTTCATGGAATCGGTCACATTTCGTGTACTCAACAGTAACGTGAGGCTCCTGGCTACCTTCCTGACAGGCAGACCCAGAACACTTCCATCCCTCCAGAAGGTTCCACGGGAGAATACGAGTTTACACTTCCTACCAATGGTGACAGCAACGGGGCACGGAAGCAGAGTCACCAAGAAAACACACAGCCACATGTGACTATAAAAGGCCAGATTTCTTGAACATTCTCCTCTCCCAGTCCCCTGACTGAAAAATAAAGTTAGAGCCTTTAGAACGTGCGTGTGTGTGTGTGTGTGTGTGTGTGTGTGTGTGCGTTAAACGAAAGAGAACTTACTCTATTCTCTCTCTCTTTTTTTTTTTTTTTGGGAGAGGTTTTTGCTATAGGCCACGTGTGCTCGCCAGACAGACAGAGACAGAGAGAGAGACAGAAAGTGAGAAATCACCCCCCAGGGAGGATGGCCACGCCGCAATCCCTTCTCCTCCATTCTTCTCTCAGGATCTTGGGCACGCCACACACGCGCCCGGCCTGAGTTTTAAGCCACCGGGTCTGGGACGCGAACCGCGGTCGACTACATGGGAGTCTAGCGACATAGCCATTACGCTAACTGCTGGTCCTACTCTATTCTCTCTTGAGTGGTCTGGGTGTTGCATGCAAACTTACAGTTTGGTCTCATCAGCTTCTTTCTGCATGATTTCAAGAATCATGCGGCATGCTTCAGAGGTCCCCTCTGGGGTGGCATGGATGGTGACAGGCTTCTCTGCGGCCCCAGAGTTTTCCTTCCTGT